AACAAATGGGCCAGGTTAGGCGGGTCAACCCTAACCCGGCCCGCATTAAAGAGGGTTCAACCTAGACCACCAATAAGGCGGGCCTAGTTGAACCCAACCCGCATGCAACCCTCGGGCGGGCCGAGTTGATATATGGCAACCTGGCGACCTGCAGGTTGCTATTTTGTCCTTTTTGGAGAAAGGACCACCAACCCAATATTTTGTCCTTTTTGGAGAAAGGACCGCCAACCCATTGGGTTGGCGGGTTGGCAAAAAAAAAATTAAAAAAAGAACAAAATTAATTTTTTTTTGAATTCCCCTTTTACCCTTGAAATATAGCCGTTTTATAGCAGTTGTAGGGGTCTTTTTTGTCATTTTCTTTTCCCATTTTTTTTTTTTTTTTATAAATTGGCCCTAAACTCTCATATTTTCTCACAACTCAAATTCTCTCATTCTCTCTAATCTCTAATCTCTGTTGAAATCTCTTAATTATTCTCTTAATCTCTTTGTTATCAATTTGCTCTTATTTTAATTTTTATTAGTTTTTGCAATTTTCAATTCATATTTGCAATTTTTCATATTCCAATTCTCCTTCTTTAATTTTTTATTTCTTCTACATCAAATTTTGTTTTCAACTACAATGGATAGATATTTCTCTCCCATCAATTTCAATGATGAAGAAAACTACTATCCTAGTCCTAGTCCCACTGAATTTACTAACATGAATGCATGAGGAGATTCAAATAGACTCGCTTTCCCAGTCTCAGAATCCGATACACCTTAAAATATGCCCCCGATTCCTCCCCATGCTGCTACACCTATAGCTCCCAGTGGTTCTAGAAGTCGTCCTCGTAATCGTCGTCCTCATCCAACTTCATCTCAAGCTGAAGCGGGTTCATCAACTGCTGTCGAAAGTGACGACAGACACAAATCAGACGTTTTGGTGCATTTCGATAAGTTTTACGAGGCAGAAAATAGAGTTCAAGTGAAGAAAGCAAGATGCAAGTATTGTGGAAATGTTTATAAAGCTGATTCAGGTAATTGTACTAGTATTTTAAAAAGGCATGCTAATAAACATATTGTTCAATATGGAAATAGAGAAACCAATTAAACTCAAATAACTAATATGAGTACTACTTGGCGTTATAATTCTGATGTATATAGGGAACAATTAGCTTTATATATTGCTGCAATTGATCAACCTATTAATATGACTGAAGATAAATATTTTGAAAGATTTATTAAAAATTCATTTTTTCCAGGATTTAAAAGTTATTCTAAAAGTGCAACTAGAAATGATTTAATAAAATTGTTTAGGAAAATGAAATTAGAATTAAAAAATAAAATACATAGTTGTCATGTTAGTGTGACTCTAACTGCCGATATTTGGAGTGGTAGATCAAACCTACTTAGTATTTTATCTTATAGGGTCCATTGTAGTCATAACTTTCAACCCGGTGTACCCACTTCTATCTCAAATAACTCTGTAAAATTAGCAACCAATAGAAAGGTTTTGAGAGCTGTTCTTTTTGGATTTTATAAGAAAAACGTAAATGTTTTTTTAGATTTAGAAATTACTTAGGACACACATCACCAAATACCCTTTTTTTATTTTATTTTTGTTTGGATCGTTTATGTTAGAGCTTGATCATGATTTTTGTTTTTGACTGCTTTTTTGGCCTGGTTTTATTAAGGTCAGTTTGACTCGTGGTCCAAATTTGATCAACCCTCAGTGTGGTTATTACCGGTTATTTAGCCATGACTGCAGGTTATATCTGTCTGCTGTGAAGTTTATACTTCATTCGGGCTCATACCCTTGCTAATCTTTGAAAGTTCATTAATTAGTTATTTCTAAAATACCCTATAATTTTATTATTTTCCAAATTATACAACCTAACTAACAAGCTGAATAAAAGACAAATGGGCCTTGTATTAAAACTAATTTAGCTCATGTTTCATATATTTGATCAAATTTATTATAGTAGATGAGATTGGAAAGACAAAAGTTCTTTATCCCTAAATTTAATTAGTTTTAGTGGTAAGAAGATGTATATTTTCATGGGCCTTTTTCGCTAAGAATCAGGGTCTTTTGCAAAAGGAAATTTTCTTTTTTACATCATCCCATGATTCAAAGTTTGTTTTTATATTTGTGTGTGTGTGTGTTTTGTTTTTTGTTGTTGTTTCTGTTAACTATACTTAAACCTGGAAAAGTGTTTTACTGATCTCTCTTTTTCTCATATTCCTTTCACAATCTTATTCTTTTGTGTGGTTAAGTCATTTCTGATTAATTACATTTTAAGTCTTATATTGTGGAGATTGTAAATCTTAAATTATATTAATGTTTGATTGTGCCTCTCCTCAACTGATTTCTATCCCACAACTGGTTAATGTGACCGCAGGTTATACCCTGCCCACTGCAAACATCTTTACAAATGAATGTTATATAAATCTTGATGTTTGCCCGAGTTGGCAGGTGACGCTGTGGACATCTTCATGATTCATGTGAATAAGTAAAGGCTTCTAGTATTCTAGAGCTTTAGTATCTGAATGCATACAAACTTTTATTGTATAGAAATTTTTTTGTGATGTTTTGCCCACCTTGATGTCTATTTCTCTCGAGAATATGTGGCATGCAGACTGTATTATGATTAGAACAATATGCAGAAGAACTAACACTGTGGTTGATACTAATGCTAACACAAACAGACGATTATGCTTTCAGAATATAATTTTGTGATTGTTTCACATGTTCTCCTTTTGAATTGTTGTCTAATGTGTACTGTGTAAACATCTCTTGTTTTTTATGGGATAGCGAGATGCGGTAAGAATGCTCAAGCCAAAGGGTTCAACCCAGTTGGTAGTACTGCTAGTTGTAGTGGGACTGCTGTTGATATTTCTAATAGGCAATATTGTGCTTTACATGTATGCGCAGAAGAATCTGCCCCCCAAAAAGAAGAAGCCTGTCTCCAAGAAGAAGATGAAAAGAAAGACTGAAGCAGGTGTCTCAGCACCAGGAGAGTAGAAATTTAAGAAATGGTTTTGGCTCCGTGTTAATGTTAACTGTCTGTGTGCAGAATTTTCTCCAGATTTGGTGTCAGAGAGTGTGCAGTTATTCACCGTGTATTTCATTGTCTTGGTTAGAAATTTTATCTCATAATGAAGTTAACCCTATTCTTGGGTAGACTAGGAGGTAAAAATGTTGTTTTTTTCCATCATATCATGTTGATTTTTCTCACGTCCTTTAGTTTCTTCAGTTGCTGCAGCATTCTGGATTTACCTCCCTCATTAATAACAATATGAACCTTTGGATCTCTTATGAAATTCTATTATAATTTTTTTTTGAATGATGTCATAATACTTAAATTATAATTTAATGATCTTTAGGCAGAAAAAAAAGTCAAAATCTAGGTCACAGTGGTTGGGTTATAAAAATGGATTTTATGAATCAATGACTTTTAAGTCCCACAATTATAAATATTCGTTCTTCCATCATTGTCCTTTTAAATGCAACTAATTTACCCTATCGGCCCAGAGCTGCCATACCCCTATCGTCCTATTTCAACAAATAAACAGTAATAGATTTCGATACAAGTAGTACTAGACTAAAGAAAGTCACACTTGTTAATAATTAAATTTTTATTTTTGTATTAATTTTATCTTTATTTTTTTTATAAAAACTTTTGACATCTCAGTTCCATAGCATAACCATAATTTTTCTATGTTTATTCAAATCATACTAAGATAATTTATAATATATTTAAATTATAAATAGTCAAAAACAAAACGAGATATTTGAGTTAAGTGAAAAAGATTTGATATGTTAATGTTATCATCACTACCCATCCATTGTAATATTGAATGAGATGGCAGATTGATTGATGATTGATCCTAAAACTTAAACCATTCATGAACGTAACACAGCAAATTTGGTTACAACTTAAACTTCAATATCAAATGATTAATTATAATATCTTTAACAAACTCTCCATCTTTTAAGCACTATCAATTACTTTTAAATCTCATTGACGCATTGACTTTATAAACATGCTAGTAAAGTGAAGCCAATGCTTTGCTTGCAAAAGCAGATTTTATAAGTGATCAATCGTGATTTAAATATTTCAATTGATGTTGAAATTTTAATTATAAATATGTGTTTATTTCATTTTACACCTGTAAGATCGTTTATTATTAAACTTATTCGTAAAGTATTAGAAACCCCTAAAAAATGTCAAAAACTCATTTTTCAGGGCGTTTGGTTATAACCCTAGAAAGATTACTCGGGATATTACTTTATTTGATTCAAAAAGTAATAAAAGATTACAGTAATATATTATTACGAAGTAATAATCAACGAATATATAGGAAGTAATATGATTGCTACCTTAGAGGTTAATATTTTAATATTACATGGTAATCATATTTTTGTTCCTCTTAATAAAAAATTTGGACACAAATGTCCTCCTATTGATGTCAAATAACAATTAACTCATCTTGTTGAATGACTTCTTTAACCCCATTAATTAATTATTTGGACAAAAATGCCCATATATATATATATATAGCAATATATATACTTATATGTAATCTTGTAAATGACATTTCAATAAAATAATATCCGAGTATTATGTCATTGCAGTTAACTAAACGCGTTAATTATTAATATAGATCACACAAACCAAACATAATAATAATTTATACTTGTTAATTTTCAAAGTTATATATCTCACTGATAACCTTATTTTTTTAATAATAAAATATTATTGTCAAACGTACTCTTTGAAGTATCAAACATTCCCTCGTAAAATTATTAAAAAAATCTCTACTAAAACAAAGCGGATGAATTTATATACTAGACGATCTAATAGGAGGAAAATAAAATAAATCCTACTAATATTGGGTTGTTAAGAAAATCAATGGGCCTAACAGCATCCACAATAGCCCAATATGAAGTGACCCATAGAGCGGCCCAAGGAATAGAAAGCTAGATTCTGTGCTATAAAATCTCAGATTTTCATTTCCTCGTTTTAGATCCAAAAGCACCCTTTTGTTTTCTGGAATCTTCTCTATTACATTTGGTGCTGTGAGTTGATCTCTTCCATGGATGACGACTTCGAGTTCGGCGATAAGGTCCCTCCCTCATTTGATCGCATGGTATTAATTTTTTATTTTATATTCTTCTCTAATTTATCTGCTGATCCTCGAGATCTGTTTCCTAGAATTTGATTTTCGTTTCTAATTCCAAGATCTAGTTCTTTAAAAATCATTCCTGACTTATTTTCACCTTGATCTATTGTTTTTTGCATTTTATTTTTTATAATAATTCAAATTCAGTTTGTGCATGGATTGCATGTTGATTTCTGAGAAATTCGATGAATTTGATATCTGATTGCCGTTATATATCATTGTCTCTTTTGGAATATTTTGATTTTTCTGTTAATTGATAGCTGTTTTTATGCATGGGTTGGTCGTCTTGTTTGAAATTCATTTTTTAATTGGGTTGATTCTTTGTGAATGTTGACACAACCGGCTCCGGCTATGTGGTGTTGGTCCATCATTTAATTCTAAATTCTTTTAATATCGGAATTTTTTATTTTTTGTTTGTACTTTTAAGCATAGTCGATGCACATCCTGAAGAACTCTAGATTTTTTTTTTTTAATTTACAATTTAGCGTCAAGCCTTTGGTTTGGAAAAAGAAGAGACATTGGAAATTATCAAAAAATGACGATTAATTGAGTGTTTTCATGACCAATTATTTCATACAATTCTAGAAACCTTTAACCGAGGGATGAGAGGTTCAGAACCTACTTGAGGTATTTTATCTTATTGGGTCCAATTGTAGTCATAACTTTCAACCCGGAGTACCCACTTCTATCTCAAATAACTCTGTAAAATTAGCAACCAATAGAAAGGTTTTGAGAGCTGTTCTTTTTGGATTTTATAAGAAAAACGGTAAATTGTTTTTTAGATTTAGAAAATTACTTTAGGACCATCAACCAAATACCCTTTTTTTATTTTATTTTAGTTTGTGGATCGTTTATGTTAGAGCTTGATCATGATTTTTGTTTTTGACTGCTTTTTTGGCCTGGTTTTATTAAGGTCAGTTTGACTTGGTTGTCCAAATTTGATCAACCCATCAGTTTGGTTATTGACCGGTCAATTAGCCATGACTGCAGGTAATATCTGTCTGCTGTGAAGTTATACTTCAATTCGGGCTCATACCCTTGATAATCTTTGAAAGTTCATTAATTAGTTATTTCTAAAATACCCTCAATAATTTTTATTATTTTCCAAATTATACAACCCAACTATCAAGCTGAATAAAAAGACAAATGGGGCCTTGTATTAAAACTAATTTAAGCTCTGTTTCATATATTTGATCAAATTTATTTATAGTAGTTGAGATTGGAAAGACAAAAGTTTCTTTATCCCTAAATTTAATTAAGTTTTAGTGGTAAGAAGATGTATATTGTCATGGGCCTTTTTCGCTAAGAATCAGGGTCTTTTGCAAAAGGAGAATTTTCTTTTTTTACATCATCCCATGATTCAAAGTTTGTTTTTATATTTTTTGTGTGTGTGTGTGTTTTGTTGTTGTTGTTGTTTCTGTTAAACTATACTTAAACCTGGAAAAGTGTTTTACTGATCTCTCTTTTTCTCATATTCCTTTCACTAATCTTATTCTTTTGTGTGGTTAAGTCATTTCTGATTAATTACATTTTAAGTCTTATATTGTTGGAGATTGTAAATCTTAAATTATATTAATGTTTGATTGTGCCTCTCCTCAACTGAATTTCTATCTCCACAACTGGTTAATGTGACCGCAGGATATACCCTGCCCACTGCAAACATCTTTACAAATGAATGTTATATAGAAATCTTGATGTTTGCCCGAGTTGGCAGGTGACGCTGTGGACATCTTCATGATTCATGTGAATAAGTAAAGGCTTCTAGTATTCTAGAGCTTTAGTATCTGAATGCATACAAACTTTTATTGTATAGAAATTTTTTTGTGATGTTTTGCCCACCTTGATGTCTATTTCTCTCGAGAATATGTGGCATGCAGACTGTATTATGATTAGAACAATATGCAGAAGAACTGCACACTGTGGTTGATACTAATGCATTAACACAAACAAGATGATTATGCTTTCAGAATATAAATTTTGTGATTAGTTTCATCATGTTCTCCTTTTGAATTGTTGTCTAATGTGTACTGATGTAAACATCTCTTGTTTTTTATGGGAATAGCGAGATGCGGTTAAGAATGCTGAAGCCAAAGGGTTCAACCCAGGATTGGTAGTACTGCTAGTTGTAGTGGGACTGCTGTTGATATTTCTAATAGGCAATATTGTGCTTTACATGTATGCGCAGAAGAATCTGCCCCCCAAAAAGAAGAAGCCCGTCTCCAAGAAGAAGATGAAAAGAGAAAGACTGAAGCAAGGTGTCTCAGCACCAGGAGAGTAGAAATTTAAGAAATGGTTTTGGTTCTCCTCCGTGTTAATTGTTAAACTGTCTGTGTGCAGAATTTTTCTCCAGATTTGGTGTCAAGAGAGTTGTCCAGTTATTCACCGTGTTTCTTTCATTGTCTTGGTTAGAAATTTTATCTCATAATTAGAAGTTAACCCTATTCTTGGGTGGACTAGGAGGTAAAAATGTTGTTTTTCCATCATATGCATGTTGATTTTTCTCACGTCCTTTAGTGTCTTCAGTTGCTGCAGCATTCTGGATTTACCTCCCTCATTAATAACAAGATGACCATTTTAATATTTTCTTTGAACATGTGATAGAAAGGCTGGCGAGAGCTACATTTTTCATGGGGTTCTGCCCTTCACAACTCGATAATGATAGGATAATTTACGTAGATAACGGGAGGTACAAATTCTTGGTACCCTTGTCAAGTAAAGCTTATTTAAACCCAGAAAATGTTCCCTGTAACTTTTATTTACAAATTTTCTTTTATAACCTTGATGTGATAGTTTGTAATTGATCGGTTTATAATGGGTTATTTCGTTTGATAAATTGTGGTTGATCAGTTACGAGTTATTACGTTAGAGTTGTGAGAGAAAGTTTGTAAGAATAGGTTGTGGTTGTAATATTACTTTTTAAATCCTATAGTCTTTATACAAATAAGTAGTTTGTAATTGGTGCAAGCTGCAGTTGATACGCTGCTAATTCTATTCAAGCTTTTAAATGGCTTGTAAACCGCATCTGACTTGCTCGTGTGATTTTATTTGTTAGAAGCATTATGGAAAGAATTTGCAGATTATTGCAAAAACAATAATACTATATTTATAAAATTTTTTATATAAAGTCAGGTAGTAAAAAATGAACCAAAGAGTGAAACTAAAAGTTAAATTTATTATATTATATTTATTTTTCTATTTATTTTTTATCAAATCACTTTATATGAAGATATTTTTAAGATTTTTTTGTAAGTGTAACATTATTCTTATAAAAATGATATGATCCAATTATAAATCCAAGCTTAAGTGCTGAATCATGTGTAAAAAGTGAAAGTTGTTTGCTTTTCACTTTTGATAAAATCCAATGTTTTAAAACCCAATACGGGGTAAAACACGGCAAAGTTGCTGGGTCTCGGGTTGACCATCAGTCAAACTGGGTGACAAAAGGTCTTAAAATTCAGTGAATACACGCCTAAATATTCGTTAAGTCCTTATAGGTTTGAAATTTGGCAAACACACTCCAAATACAAATCGGTTGGCAACTAGTTGGCGGCAGCCCAATCGTGCCTTGAGCCCATTCCCTTGAAAATCTACCCAAGATTTGGCCGAAATTAAATTTCGGCCAGATCTCACTTACGCCAACGTTGGCATTCCAAGCTAGATCTCATTGATGCTGACGTTGATGACCCTCTCCATCACCCCGAAAATACTCTCATCTTCCTCTCGACTAAAGGTGGAACAAATGGCCAGGTTAGGCGGGTCAACCGTAACTCGGCCTGCATTAAAGAGGGTTCAACCTGGACCGCTAATAAGACGGGCCTGGTTGAACCCAACCCTCATGAAACCCCCGGGCGGGTCGGGTTGATATATGGCAACCCGGCAACCCGCGGGTTGCTATTTTGTCCTTTTTGGAGAAAGGATCTCCAACCCGTTGGGTTGACCTGCGGGTTGGCTGTTGCCAATTCGACTGGTTGGTTGTTGCAACAACGGCCAACCCGCTAGGTTGACTCGCGGGTTTGCCGAAAAAAAAATTAAGAAAAAAACAAAATTAATTTTAAACAAAATTAATTTTTTTTTCGAATTCCTTTTTTAACCTTGAAATATAACCGTTTTATAGCTGTTGGAGGGGTCTTTTTCGTCATTTTCTTTTCCTAATTTTTTTTTTTTTTATAAATTGGCCATAAACTCTCATATTTTCTCACAACTTAAATTCTCTCGTTCTCTCTAATCTTTAATCTCTATTGAAATCTTTTAATTATTCTCTTAATCTCTTTGTTATCAATTTGCTTTTATTTTAATTTTTATTAGTTTTTGCAATTTTCAATTCATATTTCCAATTTTCCATTTTCCATATTCCAATTCTCCTTCTTTAATTTTTTATTTCTTCTACACCAATTTTTTTTCAACTACAATAGATAGATATTTCTCTCCCATCAATTTCAATGATGAAGGAAACTACTATCCTAGTCCTAGTCCCGCTGAATTTACTAACATGAATGTAGGAGGAGATTCAAATAGTCCCGCTTTCCAAGTCTCAGAATCCGATACACCTCAAAATATGCCCCCGATTCCTCCCCATGTTGCTACACCTATAGCTCTCGGTGGTTCTAGAAGTCGTCCTCGTAATCGTCGTCCTCGTCCAACTTTATCTCAAGCTTAAGCGGGTTCATCAACTGCTGTCGAAAGCAACGACAGACACACATCAGACATTTGGGCGCATTTCGATAAGTTTTACGAGGCAAAAAATAAGTTCTAATTGAAGAGCAAGATGCAAGTATTGTAAAATGTTTATAAGCTGATTCAGGTAATGACTAGTATTTTAAAAAGGCATGCTAAAACATATTGCTCAACATGGAAATAGAGAAACCAATCAAACTCAAATAACTAATATGGGTACTACTTGACGTTATAATTCTGATGTATATAGGGAATAATTAGCTTTATATATTGTCGAAACGGTCAACCTATTAATATGGCTGAAGATAATATTTTGAAAGATTTATTAAAAATTCATTTTTTCCAGGATTTAAAAGTTATTCTAAAACTGTAACTAGAAATGATTTAATAAAATTGTTTAGGAAAATGAAATTAGAATTAAAAAATAAAAATCATAGTTGCCATGTTATGTGACTCTACTACCGACATTTGAGTGGTAGAGTTAACAATTATATTTGTGTAACCAGTCATTATTTTGATAACAATGTATTAAATAAATCTTTATTAGGATTTAGATAATGGATGTGGATCATAGTGGTAAACAAATTTATAATAAAATTGTTGAAGTTTTAGAAGATTATGATATTGTTAATAAAATGATAAGTTTAACTTTAGATAATGCAAGTGCTAATATACAGCTATAGATTTTTTTCAAAGTAATTATCCTTTTTATAACATTTGAAGTTTTTTCACCAACGTTATGCATGTCACATTATTAATTTAATTGTGAAAAGTGGTATGAAAACAATTAAGAAAATATTGATAGAATTAGCGAATGTTTAGCTTGGATTACTGGTAGTAATAAAGAAATACTGAATTTCAAGATGCTTGTATAAAATCAATATGCTTTTAGAACTTTTGTGTTAGACATCCTGGGTAGATGGAATAGTACTTATTTAATGCTTGATTCATGTTTACCTTATGCTAATATAATTAGTTATTTTGTAGCAAATAATATAGGTCCTCATTATTTGGTAGAAAATGATTGGCATATAGCTAAAATATTTCATTCTTTTATTAAAATTTTTTACTAACCCACTTTACAACTTTCTGGTGTGTATGATCCTACTAGTCCATTGGTAATACATACAATTATAAAAATTTCAGAGTTATTTACAAAAAACAAAAACAATAAAATTTTAAAGGAACCAATAAAGGCAATAAATTTTTTTTTTTTTTTTAAATATTGGGAACCTATTCCTTTTCTTTATTGTTTAGGTGCTATATTTGATCATAGAATTAAATTAGCAGGTTTAGAAAATGGTTTAGACAATTTAAATGAAAATTTACAAACCGAAGCATATGCCAATCAAATAGGAGAGGTAAAAAATTGTCTTGCAGAAGTATATTTCCACTATGAAAACATGTATGGGAGCCCGCAAAGAGGCGAAATATCCAGGGAAGTTGCATCAGAAGAAACAAATGAAGACTTCTACTCTTGGAGTGTACTGAATAGGCCGAAGAGGACTCGAATCCGAAGCACAACCTCCTCTTTAGAAGCACCACCACCACCAACGACAACTAATATACTGTCCTCCATGCAATTACAGAGTAATGAGCTTCAACAATATTTGGTAACCCTCAAAATGTTATTAGCAGATCCACAACAGAGAGCCAACTTTGATGTCTTAGAATATTGGAAAGCCGGAAAATGTATTTTTTCGGTATTATCAAGACTTGCCTTGGATGTTTTCGCTGTTCCTACCTCAACCGTCTCATCCGAACAAACATTTAGTGCAAGTGGAAGAATTTTAAATGAATGGAGGACTAAACTTACTCCAAAAATGATTAAAGTCCTCACATGTCTTCGAGATTGGGAACGGTCTCGCCATCAAGATCAATACGAGGTTGTCGACGATACTTTAATAGAATCATTTCAATTTTGTAATGTAGATGATATGGATGAGGGAGGTCCTAGTCAACCACCCCCAAATTAGTTGTTTTGTAAATTGTAACTTGTAAATTAATTGTCAATTATTGCACTCTTTTTTCTTTATCAAGTTTTTGTCACATTGGGTTTTTCTTGGTGAGGTTTTAAACGAGGCAATAATTGTTGTAATTTCTTATTTATTTTTTGATAAATGAATAAATCTAATTTTTCTTATATTACAATTTTATTGTATTAAAATTGAATTAATATTTGAAATGTTAAAAAAAAAAATTAATTTAATTGAATTATTGATATTTGAAAAGTTAACTGAAAACAATTACATTTATTCATTTATAAATTGTTAATTATTCATTTGAAAAGTTAATTAAACAAAACAAAATAAAAAAATCCAAAAAGGGGGCTAACCCAGCTCGGCCCGCAGCCTAACCCGGTGGGTTAGGGTTGGTGGGCCAGGCTGGGCCAGCCAATCCCCAAAAAATGATGGGCCTAACCCAGCCTGCCTTTGTTGGCGGGCGGGTTAGGACCGGCCTGCCAAAATCAGTAACTCACTGCGGATCGGGTTGGGCAGGTTACTTTTCCAACATTACTCTCAACCAAAACCCACCTCATCCCACCCTCGTTAGCCTCGCTAATTGTCGGCAAAAGCCGATTGTTGCCGCCACGCTAGTTTTTTTTTCGATTTTCGATCGATTTACTCCCCGAAAATCAATTTCATTGCCACCATTACACTCATTGACACTCTCTCTTCAAAAGCCCCAATATCTTGACTTTCAATTGTTTGTCGATTATCATCCCAAATTTTAGGGTTTAGGGTGAATAAGAAAAATGTAAACCCAACCCGATGAAGCTTTCGGGTCCCGATTAAACTAGCCAGGCCAGATTTTAAAACATTGGTAAAATCTAGGCAAAAGGATCAGAAAATCTTTTACTGTCAAACTTTCAAATTAGAAGGGGTTCTTATGAACTCGGAGCATGGAAGGGTTCTTACTGCCAAACTGCAGATTCTTCAAACAAATGAAAAGGACACAAGCTTTATAAGAAAGATGTACTCTGGAGAATAAAAACAAGGAAGAGATATGTATTCATGAACAGCCGTGAGTCCAATGAGTAATTCAGTCTGCTATACATACAGCCAGCCATTACCATACACAAAAACCAAAATTTTGTGAGCAACATCCGAAGAGATTTTATCTTCATACAGCATGTCAAGATTTCATTTCATTCACCTTTACAACTGGACTTGACAAAATGCATAGATGTAAAACCTTGCAACTAGAAGGATAGTTGACAAACCTAAGGTATGCACTTTCGCTTTAACATTCATAGTCTGGATACACATCTCAGCAACACAATAACAAACACAACATAAGCAAAGTCTGCTACAAATCCATCACATATTTATACTAGGTCGAACAAACCAGGAGGATGCAAATAAGGCAACAACATGATTGTACAATACCACATCCTGTTATTAAAAGTATAGACATTAATAGAAATCATTCATGTTGAGTTGGGGCACAATAGCAAGTAAGCATGTCCTCAGACTCGACGGCCCATGGTCTGTTCCCCTGGGGCAATCATAACCAACACAGGTTGAGCATTGAACCCAGGAGGAGGCAACCTTCGACGAAGCTCACGACCTTCTTGGCATAGAGCACATCTGTGACAGAAGAAATGATTTGCAAAATCACAAGCCGACTCACATTGCTCACGTTGCATGTCATCTTCCACACAGCTTCCGCAACACCCACAAGACCTGTTAAGTGCTTCAAAGCTACCCTGTTGTAAACAAAAGTCAAATCATAAAAATCAACTTACAACTTTCTTCCACTGTTATTTTGGTGTGCACACTCCTTATCACTTCATTCTCGATCAAAAAAAAAAAAAAAAAAAAAAAAAAAAAAAAAAAATATATATATATATATATATACACACACAAAATGATTTTAAGAAAAAGATTCAAGTAATGAAGTCCCATATTCTCACAACGCAAAATAAAGAAAACTCAGAACAAAGTGATGTTGGCACTTAAAAAACAAATCATTTACAGACAACAATGATCTAGAGTACTGAAAGGAAAATTAGTGTTGTAGCTCAAGTACTTACTTAAATAAGTTAAATCATCTGAATTAGAACTAAATATTGCAAAAAATGCCAAGCCCACAACATTATCAAACCAATTATCAAATTTCATAGGAGTGTATAGAAAATGGTACACTGACAATGAAGAAAATGTTAACACAAGTAATAAAGCACAATAGGCTGTAAAACTGCATCACTTTTATCTGAAACAAACAAACTCAACAAAGCTGTACCCTAAATTTAAAGAGAAATATTTGTACGAAGAATAAAAGCAACCCATGACCCATTTCAATCAATCAGTTAAAGTTTTGAAGAAAATTATGGCCTAAAGTAATTTGAGACAAGAAGATTGAGTTTACATGCAAAAGGAAAATAAGAATGAAAATGTAATTATTCTTAAGATGAACATGTAGCAAAGAAGAATGAACAATTTATGAAAATCTCAGAAAGATCAAAAGACATCCAAGTAGATAGAAACTCAGGTGAAGGAGAGATAAAAAAGTAACTTGCCTCCAGGTTAAATTTCTTACGAATAGCTGTACGGCTAGGATATGAAAAACAAGGTGCAAGGAAATTACAACGCAAGACGGCATTTCCAATCAGGTACAGACAAGTGTAAGGGAGACAGTGATTTGCAAAGGTCCCAGGAGCAGAACCAAGCCTCTCCACATTGCTTCCATACAGCACACATGGAGCCATGCTTCCAAGAAGACCTAACCAGTTATCAAGATTAACCGTCAAAAGAAATGAAACCAAGAAACATTTAGGGATTGGAAATTTGTAAATAAATTACATCTCCAGACTCAAAACTTTGTATACCCAAATTCTAAATTCATTTGCTATAAAATTTCTTAAGAACAAAATGCTTGTATAAATGAGAGGAACAAAAGCCATAGGAACTAAAGCAATCAAATTCATACTAAAAGCTCTAAATTTAAGCCTTGCACATAGCAAATAACTCATATTTATTACCATTTTCAAATTAAACCCAGATTATAATCAAACAAAGACCCAAAAATAGATCACGAAGAATATGCGAAACAAATAATTTCTTCTCCTGTTACCGCAATTAACAAAATCAAAATTGCAGATAATCATAATTTGACCGTTAATCATCGTCACGCATTCAAGAATGTAACTGAGCATTCTGGTTTTAAGCAAGCTATTTGTCTTAACAAACCTCATTCGCATCAGCTTCTCTAACGCCAATTTTACTTTCCCTTCTTCTTGAGTGGTATTCTTTCATTTCTTTGTATTTGATAAGTACAATCTACAATGACACATTTTTAAAAAGACTGATATCCATTTTTTTCCCAAAATCTAATTAATCAAAAACCCTAATATTAAAAAATCATGTCAACAAAGTTTCCAAATTCACAATTAAAATCAAAATCAACCCAATAAAGAATCACTCACAAACTTCAAGATCGCTGCTGCAGAATTCATCATTACGACCAAGGCAAGCGCAGAGAGAGGAGTCCCACTGGGTTCGGCCCATGGGCTCACCCATCACACTCCCGTGAGTCAACGGCAGCCCATTCGCGGTCAAACCATATACACCGAATTCCGGCGCCAGAGATTCAGATTTCTCAGCTTGCGGATTGGTATGAACGTTCGATTTCTTCTCATTCTTGGTTTCTTCTTCTACCACCTGCTTCTCCAAAAGAGGACTGGACTCTGAATCAACGGTGCCGTTATCATTGCTGTTGCTGTTCTTGTTATTGTTAGCCATTTTCTGTTTGTTTTGATTTTGTATTTGATGGATCTGATGAGAAATGGAATGGAATGAAATGAAATGATTTTTTTTTTTTTTTTAATGTTTGAAAGAAAATTTATCTTAGTTGATGAGGAGACAAAAGCAAAGCGTGTTCGTCGCGGTTTGTTGAATTTAAACGCGCTTTGTCTTAGCCATTTTCTGTTGTCTTGATTTCGTATTTGATGGATCTGATGAGAAATTGAATTATTATTATTATTATTATTATTATTTTTTAATGTTTGAAAGAAAATTGATCTTAGTTTATGTGGAGACAAAAGCAAAACGTATTCGTCGCGGTTTGTTGAATTTAAATGCGCTTTAGTAGCGTCCGATCGGGGGTGGCAATAATCATATGATGGTTCTGACCTCGAGAATTAATAACACGTTATATTCTGCTTATAATTTCCAGGAAGCTTCCGACGCAATGAATTATTGTACCCAAAAAACAATTTTATTTTTGAGATTAATATCCGGGGATATTGTTTCAAAATATTTTATTTTTTGTGTAAACCATTTTCCCACCCAAGATTTGCTTTAATAACATTTACCACCCAAAAAGTTTCAAAATACGACTACTCTACCAAAAGTTTATATTTCGTTAATACCCAAAACCAGTGCCGCGGTAAGACTGTTTTTATGGCCGTGAAATGGCCTTACTGGCGCATGACTGACCATGTCCCGTTGATCGCGCACCATTACAGTGATTTCTGGTGGCGCCGTGTAATGACTCTTTCTAGCTAATATACTTGGAAAAAATATACTATAATAAAAATTACATAAACATAAAATGAAAAGTAATGGGCCAAAAAATTTCTTTACTTTATATTTAATTCTGTACATAAACAAAGGTAACATATACAATAGCTTAAAAACAGTGGACAGTAGTGCCATTTCTCTCTGCTTCTTGACATCTATTCGACTGCTTCTCACCTATTTCCTGCAAAAACATAGAAATCAACGGAGTGAGCACTAATTGCTCAGTAAGTAAATCCGCTATACTAATCTTTTATCTCCGTTGCTCATATTTTGAATTCTTTCCTTACTTTATTCTTTTTCTTCTTCTTCATTCTCTCTTTATTCTTTCTCTTCTCTTTCACTATTTCTAGTTCTCACTGTTCTTTTGTTCTAATTTTCTTTGTTCTTTCTGTTCTTTCTTTCTTCTAATTTCTCATTATCCATGATAGGAATCATGGTATCATGCATGGATGAGATGCAAATGCACGCATGGACGAGATGCAAATGCACAAATACATAGAGATGCATTCTATCTCTTCTTTTCTGTTTCTTATTCTTTTTTCTTCTCTCTTTTCTATATTTCTTTCTATTCTTTTCTTTCTTCTTCTCTTCTCTTCTTTTCTTGTCTTTCTTGCTTGCTTATTTTTTCTTATTCTTTGCCGATCGGACTCGGTTGATGCATGGATTCAGAACCCTGGCCGTGTGAGTGAGTATAGTCCTCATCTACATGCACTCTTACGGACTGTACAAATTCTTTTCTTCTTAGGCCACTCATTTAAGGTGGCGTGCATGTAGGTATTTCTTCTAGGTACAACCTTTATCCACATGCACTCTTACGGGCCGTACAAATTCTTCTTCTTATTTTTAGGCCGCTCACTGAAGGCGGCGTGCATGTGAGAATCTTCTTCTTTTTGTCACCCACGGGTTCCCCATCGCAACAATCTGTTCTTTCTTCTTTTAAAGCATTCTAGCTTCTTCTTTCTTTCTTTCTTTTTATTCTTTAAATTCTTTAGTCTTTAAAATTCTCGTGCATATGCATATGTTTGCATGTAGATGATTCATGCTTAATATTCTTTCTAAATGCATATGCATATGTCATGAATACATACTCTCATGCGTACACATGTAACACCCAACATTGAGGTACATGATTTAAATTATGTTGTATAGCCCTTAGTTAAATTTTGTTAGAATTATTTTAAGAGAATATGAAGAAAATGCCTTAAACTTGCATTAAGGGTAAAATAGTCTTTTCACTCAAAACTAATTGATTTGGTGGGGAGTGAAAAGAGATAGAAAATCATAGAGAATACAATAAAAGTGAAGGCATTTTGGTAATTGACTAAGGGACAAAGATGGAATTTCTGTTTCAAGGGACAAAGATGGAATTTCTAAGAAAGAGTAAGGGCAAAATGGAAGTGAGTTTATAAACTAAAATGTTAAGGGGTTGAAACCCTTATTTCGTTCATAGCACCCCACACTCTCCTCCTTTTTCCCTCAAATTTTCTTCACTTTTCCAAGGAATTTGAGGGCTTTTGAGTAGATTTTCATAGGGTTTTGATTCAAGGCATCAAAAGGTAAGGATTCATGCTCTTTATTCATGTTTATTTGTGTAAAAGTGGAGTTCTTATGAAGTTTATGCTTAGGGTTAAGAGAAGATTTGAATCCAACAAGAGAGAGAGCTTAGAAGAGACTACTCAAGCAAAAGGTAGTAAATTCCACTCAAAATCCAACTCAAGCTAAAATTTCAGAATTCAAGTGAGTAGAGATTTATTTAAATATGCTATGTTGTGATTATTGAGAAATTGAGATGAAATTGATGAATTATTGAGGAGTTTGATGATAATTAATGAGTAGAATTTAGCCATGAGAAGTGGTTTTGGTTGTATGATGATTCATTGAAGTTTGGTTGAAGTTAGAAAGAGTTGAGTAGAATTTTTGGGAGTGTTTGTTTTTGGCAGTTTAGTAGTTGTTTGCTGGAGTTTTACTCCAAATTGGTGACTTGAGAAAGAGATAGAATGGTAGCCAATTTCGGATTGAGTATGCATGCAATAGTTTGAAGAAATGCCAAGTGAAAATTGCCTTGTCATGTCCGTGACTTTCTAAGTAATTTTTGGTATCTTAGAGATTGAACTGGATTGAGACCAAAACATAAAAGTTATAGCCCTATCTCTAAGCTTTAAACGAGACAAAAATCGTAGCAATCCAATGTGTATAACTCAAGTTATGCCTTCTGAATAAGACCTGTCGAATGACTATCTTTGAGGCAACTGCATTTGTGCATTTCATAAGTGCATTTAAGTAAGAAATTTTAAACATGTGCCATCCATATGTATATAATTGTGTATGTGTAGAAACATAAGAAAGAAATAAAGACTAAAGACTAAAGAATAAAGAATAAAGAAGAAAGAATAAAACACTCTAAGAATAAAAAGAAAGGAAGAATAAGCATTAAGAATTAAAGAGTGTTAAAGAAAAGTAAAGAAAGGTTGGTGTGATGGGGAACCGTGATTGTTAAGAAGAAATTCCCACATACACGTCACCTTAATTGAGTGGCATAAGAAGAAGAAATTGTACGACCCGTAAGAGTGTATATGATAGGGTTGTACCAAGAAGAATTCCTACTGCACGTCACCTTATTAGTGCCTAAGAAGAAAGAAGAATTGTACGGTCCGCAAGAGTGCATGTAGATGAGACTGTACTCACTCACATGGCCAAGGTTTTGAACCCATACATCAACCAAGTCCGATAAGCAAAGAATAGAAAAGAAAGAATAAGAAAAGAATAGAACAAGAAAATAGAAATAAGAAAAAAACATTTTGTGCATTATTGCATATGCATTTATTCATGTACATTGCCATGAATTTCATCATGGTTAGGAAAATAGAAGATAGAAAGAAAGAAGAGAGAAGTAGAAAGGAAGAAAAGCTGTGAGAGTAAAAACAGAGAAAGAAAAAGAAAAAAGAGTAGAGTAAGAGAATTAAAGAGTGATGCACGGATAGTGGAGTAGAGGATTACTTACTGAGCATTTTTGTGCTCACCCGTTGCTTTCTATGTTTTTGCAGGAAATAGGTGAGGATGGCGGTCGGATGACATCGACAAGCGGAGAGGCATGGCTACACTGTCTACCATTTTGATAGTTTTTGTATATGTTATTTTTGTATTGTGTAAAGAATGTATATATTAAGTAAAGAAAAAACTTGCCCAACTACTTTTTAGTCAATATATATTTTTTATTAAGTATCTTTTATGAGCATATAGTAGAAGAAGTCATTACAACACATCTCTTAGACATTTCATCAAACATAATGATGCATACTCACTTCTATTTGCTAACTTCTACTTCTTTCTTAAGCCACCAATATTTGGAGTAAAACTCCCTTAAATCAACTAAACCTGGCAGGAAAATACACTTCATATTCTTCTCAAACTCTTCCAAATTCAACCCAACTTCTATCAATCACCACACAACAACTTCCACTTCTCATGCTAATTTCTACCCATCCACACAGTCATCTCATCAACAATTCTCAAAAACATAAACCACATACATACATATAAAATTCTTTACTCACTTGATTTCTCAAATCATAACTTGAGTTGGATTTACTTACCTTGAACTTGAATAATTTCACTTGAACCTCACTCTCTCTTTGGTAGACTTCCTCTTTCTCTAAAACCCCAAGCATTACACTATAAGAATTCAACATCTATTTGAAAGAATTTTTACCTTGGAATTGCTAGAAGAAAGATCTACCCAAAATCCAACCAAAAGTTCTCTAAAATGCCTTGAAAATTGATGAAGAGATTGAGAGAATTGAGAATGTAAGTGGCGTGGGGGTGTAGAGAATGGTAGGGTTTGTGTGCTTAACCCTTAATATCTCATATTAACTCATACTTTCCATTTTGCCCTTACACTTTCTTGGAATTCAATCTTTGTCCTTTAGTCAATTACAACAATGCCCTTATCACCATTACATTCTCCATAAAAATTTCCTACTTTTCACTCCCCGCATTTTCAACTAATTAGGGTAGAATGGTCATTTCTCCCTTAGGAAATTTCTCTAGAATCATCTCAAGAATTTCAGCCAGCTCTTGCCCCAGACAAAAATCCAGAGCAAACGTCGCCGCGGCGAAGTCTACAATTCCCAACTTCACCAATCCTCTACCTTAAACCAGCAAAACTAAGGGCAAACAAGTATAAATAAGTTACGTACCTCAATGTGGGCATACTGCTGATGATAGTGGCTGGCTGCCAGTAGGGGCTGGAGCGGTGTGGTTGTTTTGCTACAAATTAAAGTTTATATGGTTGGAGTTTTAGCAAAATTTCAATGTAGGGGTTTAAACGAAATAATTTAAAAATAATATTATATTAATATTCTAAAAGGAAGGTAATTTAGTAATCTATATAAGATAGCC